TTCCCAGGGTTTCAGTGGAAGCAGGATTTGATCTTCAGTCCAGAACGTTGGCCTGTTTCCAGCAATCTGTCTGGTCTGACACTGTTGCATTGTAATGTCACAGCTGTAGTTACTATACTGTTGCTTTTTTTAGCAGGCTCTGGGGCAAGTTCCCCTTTAACGTCTCCATCGTCCCCCACTCCGCCCTCTACAGCAGGTAAGTTCAAGAGACATTACAGTGTTTGTCTTTTTACTCACATTTTTTATTCCCCCCTTGCCTTCCCTAACAGTGGGTGTTATTCCAAGGATGATTAAGGGATGGTGGTTTTCAGGGATGGAACAGAGAGATGACACTTGCCTTGTGTCAGCCTGAGTGTGAACATGTGCTCTCTTCTGAGGGTCATAGAGAACCTTGTAATAGTTTTCTTTTTCATTTTATAACCTTTATTGAGACATACATGATACAATTTACCCACAGAGTGTACGTGCTTTCTTTGAAGTCTCTCTTACTCCAGACCTACCAACGCTGCTCCTTTCCAGACGTTTTTTGAGCCTCATGTTGCAGTGTGCATTTGTTCTGGTGTTACTGGTCTGTTGACCCTGAAATACTCTTGTTGATACCTTGTTTCTGTGTATTGTCTCTTTACTCCTATACTGCTGTGATGTACTTTCAGGAATTTTGTGTGTGACAAATGCATTGGCTTAGGCTGCACAGATCTCCCCAGTTCTGCTACAGCCCATTGATAACCTGTTCAAGGTGGTAGAAACAAGTCAGATTCTGATTTGTGTTAAAAATAATATCCTTTTTGGCCAATTCTGGTTTTCAGTGTGCTGGGTAACTGTGCAAACAGTTTTGCTAATGTGTAGGACAGGTGGTGGGAAGTGATGAAGAATCTGCTTGAGTGGGTCATAGAAGTGCTCTGAAAGTTTGATTATAAATCTGAGTGGTGAGCAGTAGTGGATGTGCTTTGGGCTGGAAGAGCAGCACTGGCAAACATTGACAACAAATGGTATTAGCAGAATCCATCTCTAGAAGGGAAGCAGCCCATAGCATTGCCTTTGTTATGGTGACTCATTCTGTATGATTTGTAGTCTCAGGAACTTTCAGCACAGCAGAACTCGTTAAGTAAAGAGATACAATCAAATCTGTTTGCTGTGGACCATTTTTCAAAGGACACTGCAGTCTGTGATGTAATTCAAATCAGTCATGCTGAAAGTCAAATTAGCAATTTCTCCTTCAAGCTGAGGGTATGAGAAGTGTCTATTTTATGAACTAACTTCTTCTAGTTAGCCTAAACGAGATAATTACTGTTATTGTGTCCCAGTAACAGTGCCTTTCTTTGGATGCACTGACTGTTAGCTGAAGGGTTTGTTGAAAGTTCTTTGTTTTAATATGGAAGTAGCTGAAAATGCAAAAGAAAACCATGTGCCTCCAAACTGGACAGATGTTTAGAAACCTTTTGTTGTGCAACAAAAAACTACCTTTTAGTTAAATATTTAACTTGAACCTGTTGGAACTTGATTGAACCTGTTGGAACTTGATCGAATTTTAAGTATGTGATGCAGGTTTATGTGTGGATGGGACTCACATGGCCTAAAAAATGGGCCAAGTTTGGGCTCAAAACTTGGCACTGTTGTTCAGAACATACTGTCACAGTGTGTTGGTCATCTTGCTGCCAGTGTCCTGGTGACTCGTGGTGATCAGCCTGGGCTGACACAGTGCATGTGGCCCTACCTGCATTTGAACTAGAAAGTGCTTTGATGGCTTTGGTGCTGTTTATTGAGGTGTATAGACAAGTGTCACATTTTCAGGAATGCTTTTGTGAGTAGAATTCATAGAAGATATTTCAGATATTCTAAGAGAAAAGGAGTGTGGTGATTCAATTTTTTTTTTAACAGCAGTGTTGCAGTTTTAGCTATTCTATGCTATTTACTGGCTCAAGGAAAGACCCACTGGCTCCATGGTAGGACTTTGTGATAAGTGATGCATCTATAGTTTGTATCTTTCTCTTCCAATTTCCTTGTACCTGGGGATATCTACCTCTAAACCAAAATTGCTTGTGGGTATGAGTTTGTTGAGGTGGCTCTCAAAAGGGGAATGAGGCTTTTGGTCTGTCTTTCTGGTTTGGTTGTGGTTGTG